TGCTTTAATCGGTTTCAGTTGATTAAAATAATGAATTATGAATAAAATTTTGTGACTGTTTCTTAAACAACTAAGACTGTAGGAATAACTATGCTGCACACCTTATAGTACAAATCAACTTATACTCTAAAGTCTGTTCACTAGTAAAATCATTTAAATACCAAATTAATTATAAGAAAATTATAAAAATTATCACATTCTTAAAAGCAGATTTAAAAAACTCTTCAACGGAAACTTCCTCATCAACTGGGTTCAAAATGCAGTTAAACTTCAGTTTTCATTGAGCAGTTTTTTGTTTGTAAAAGGCAACGGTGCAAATCAGACCAGCATAGAATTAATAATTTGAATAATCATTGAGCATTTAAAGACATTTGTCAGTTAGAATACAAATTAAAGATATAAATTTTTTAAAGAGCACTGAAACTGTAAACGCAATTACCTTATGGACCAACATTACCTTATAAAAATCTCGTTAAAGTTTTGTACAAACAGTCAAAGCGTATGCTGTAACATTCCAGCTGAAATTCCTAAAATTAAAAATGACAAAGCAGTCATTTTTCAGCAGTGCATTTATCGTTTCCACTAAAGATAAGAAATATCAAGTAAACGAAGTTGCTTTAACTATTTTACTACCTTTTCAAATCTGTCAAAATGAATAATTTTTTATTAAATGTACTGTTATTTAAGCAGTCAATTACTGGCTTAACAGAGACGCACAAAGTTACGATTGTTAAAAGCATTTTAAATCGCTTCATTATTTACAAAAAAAAGCTGTAATCAATCGTTACATTTCTGCTACAGATTCAAACTGCTACTATATTCGTCTTCATGTGACACTTTTATCAGTGACTGTATTCTGCTTCTACCACCTACGATAATAACCGAGAAAAGAGCATATGTACTAAAAATCAATTTGAAGGTAACCACCCCCATACTTTTTTTACCTTTTTTATAGGTAATTCTTCTTTTTGTTCTATACCAATATCTGACTCAGCCAGACAGCTGAACTCTTGAGAAAACGTTCGAAAACGTTAGGCATAACTTGCGTAAAGAACTAATTGAATAAATGTTCTTTTGACAGCAAAGCAGTTAGTGGAGAACCAAATAAACATTAACCTACGTTCAACATCTATATTACTGCACCTCCGTCAAACACAGCCCATCAAATTATCTAGACTTTGAACTATTTGTATAAAGTTTTTTCCTCGACATCTTTGTAAAATCTCATAAGAAAATCCCGCTTTATCATAAAAAAAATCAGTGCAGTTTAGAGAGAATATCCTGTCTGAAATTTCATCGCTTTTTTTGTCTTAAGACATTTGCTACAAATCTAAATGTTCTCTGAATAAATATATTAGTCTTTTAATATGCAAACACACTTTCATTTGCAAAACACAAACAGTATGCAAAAGGTTGTAGAAACTGTTTAGTTTAGTAGATTCTCTTTTGCTGTATACTACTACAAGCTTAGCGTCAATAGGTATTTGCTATGATTATTTTTTCTCAACTTTCTTGTGGCAACCCAATTATTTTCTGCTTGCCATTTTGAACAGTTATTATCTTTTCTACTTTTTTAAACTAATAAATCGTTCGCCGCATTATTCTTGTTTCGTTTCACTTTTTTATTTGTTTATTTAAATCCTAAAGGTTCAGAGCCTTTACATGTACAAATCTAACCTATTTTCCTGCTTAAGCTTTTAAGTGATTTATTGTAAATTTTATTTCAGTCCTCTTTCTTTTTTCGGCAGTTTTTTGTCAAAGAGATAAGTATTTTTTATTTAGAAAGAATAACTGATCTTAAAAACAGAAAAAAATTACATTCACGTACTCTC